TAACCCTGTAAGGACCTTTTACCACCTTTCTGAGAATTGAGTTTAAGAAAAAGAGATCAATATCATGTGGTAAGGAGCTCTGTGTGTTACTAGATAGAAGAAAAAAAGGCAGGAACATTAATGAAATAGTGGCCTGTTTTTTTCTGTGTCATGGTGCTTTAGGACCTGTGGCAGTTTCTGTGGGAGAGGGGCTCAGGTTTTCTATTGTGATGCATCAGATTCCAGGGCGGCTGATTGGTTGAGAAAGAGTATAAAGTCTTTGCATTGCTAAGGCAGAGACCAAACTGCAGAAGGCTTGGAGGAAAGCTGGAGCTCCCCTCCAACTGCTTAATCCTGAGAGTCCTACTCAACTCCTGTCCTGCTGGTCTGCTGACCCACCCATACACTGAACTGCCTCTGACCCTCCTCGCAAACTCTAGCACTTTGTCTGACTCCAATTCTTTTCCCTAGTACCTTTCTCCACTTCTTTCCAGGTGCCCAATACTTCCCTTCTTGCCCTGTACCACCCCCTTCCCTTCCCCTTCCTTTCCTTCCCTTTTCCATCCCCACCCCACCCAGTGCCCTCTGAACCCCTAGTCTTCCCAAAACTCTTCCTTTGCAACTGCTGGACATCTACAGAGGATAAAGACATGATGTCAAATCTGTTCTTGTGTGCCCTCCTGTTAGTACATCTCTATCATTTCAAAGTGAATGTGAGTAACGCTGGGCCTGAACAGGCTAAGCCTCCTTCGCATTGGGCTATTCCACTCTGTGGTTGTCATAACAATGCTGCAGGGGGTAGTGGGTGGTATCTCAGCCCTCCTCTCTGGCCAAGGTGAGGTCCTTGTGTAGCTCTCCTGACCAGACCACAGAGGTCTAGTCTCAAGTGTCCACATCAAGTTTAGCTTGGTCCCAACACATTAAGAATAACTTTAGAGCATCAAAAAAGAAAGATTTTTTAAATATAATAAAAGCCATTGAATCAAATGTTTTAGCAATGGGAATACTGTCATATGTGATTATATGTAAAGATGTTTTGTAAAATGTAAGAAGAGACATTGTTTTAAGAGGAGTCACACTTGGGGTGTATTTCAAACAGTTTTAAATATCGGTATGTTTTCTCCTCCAAAATAATGAAGCATGCCATTGACTAAGATTACTTTTTTTTTTCTAAAATTGTTCTTCTTTAAAGCTTGCATGTGTCAGAATGTGCTGTTTATTGAATGAGATAGTAACAAAAATAAGTAATTATCTTGATTCACCACCAGAAATGGTTCATTTTGAATTCTCACATAAGTAGGTAGTTCTTTTAAATATCGGTATGCTTCCTCCAAAATAACAAAGCATCTCATTAACTAAGATTCCGTATTTTTCTCTAAAGATAGACTTCTCTTACAGTGGTCAAAATGTACCATTTATTGAATGGGATAGTAACAAAAATAAATTATTATTATCTTGATTCTCCTCCAAAAATGGTTGATTATGAATCCTCACATAAGTAGGAAGTTATTTTTCACTTTTGTTTTTATTTTTAATCTGATGATTTCATTATGTGGAATTACTTAACTATTCTACTCATTGGTTTACTGTTTTAGACATCTTATTAGGAACTGTGGATATTTCATCTTAGTATGTTTTCACACAAGATTTAATTTTCTTTCTCCCTCTTGTAGAAAAATCCTCAAGGAAATAAAGGTAAGAGTTTAGCCTTTTTGATATTTGAAGTCCAAGTGTTTCATGTGGGTTCTAATCCAAGTGGGAGTACGAGTACATAGTAAATATCAGCATATATGTTATGAAAATGAGATAGGTTGGTGGGTTCTTAACTGTGGACAATTTTATTCTTTCTGGTTGAGGTCTAAATGACAACATGGAGGGAATTTTGCCATCAATTGAGATAAGAGGTCAGGCCAAGAAAGTTTATGGGAGCAAGGAGAAGATCAGTTTAGTTTTGCAAAGATGTGGTTAGGAAGCAATAGTGAAGGGAGTCTGTATTTCAGAGGGAAAACTTTGGCCTGACCTCTTCTTGAGAATGGAAAGATGATTAGTTCATACCAGAGGCTATCAAGAAGCTTAAGGCTTAGAAAGTATCCAGATGATGCCAGACAAGATCTGTGACATAATGGAGGTTTATACTCTCTGTTTGGAGTCTTACATCTAGAGAATCATTAAGACCAGGGGAGAATGAGTAGAGATGAACTTGATTCAAAATGGGGGTGATGCATTCTGAATGTTCTTCATAGACTGTGATGATTCAGGGTGCTGTCTGGTGATAGCCAGGGTGGCTGCCTGGCACAGAGTAGGTTCACAGATGCTGAGGTGTGTCCCAGTGACTGCAGCAATGGTGGTGGTCAGAAGATTGACCTCAGGCAGCAGAGCTCTTATGATGGGCAAGTAAAAAATAAGTTTAGACTCCAGCAGATGAGAGATTCCATACCTGGCAGAGGGGTCTAGAATTATGAGCTCTGATTGAAGACATTTTTTGGTGCTACTTACCTGCGAGATGGTACTTTTTGTATGTTGTTCACCTTTATGGTGATGGCGTTTTCTTCTTGGGGATTAAGAAAAGTTTGGAGAGATTGTGGGTTACCTCAATTTTTTAAAAAAAAATATCTAGGATGTGTTTTAACACCAGGGAGAAAGAAAAAAGGAAGAAAGCAACCCCCTGTGTGTCTTGCTAATATTCATTTCTTCCT